TTGTCATTTCTTTTATTTATTGCAGCTGGCCACTCTTCAGCTGTATCACCCCTGAGATGGTAAAGATTTGATCAGTACAAAAGGTCTGTCTGAAGCAAATGTATGGGCAATTGAAGATAGTGTCATGACACTCCAGCCTTTGGATGTTTGATACATTCTTTTCTGTATGCTCAAATGTAAATAGATTTAATCCAACAGATACCACATGCAAACATCATCCAGGTGCTTGTCCTGCTAGGACAGTCTCATTCTTTTTCCTCCCTGTATCCCTTATGACTATCTCCTGTGCTGGTATCTGGGGAAGGACAAGAGGAGTCTAAAGTGTATCTACAGGTGTTCTTTAGCCCATAAAGGATTTTGTTACAGTAGAACCTCAGATTTACGAACACCAGAGTTACGAATTGACCAGTCAACCACACACCTCATTTGGAATTGGAAGTATGCAATCAGGCAGCAGCAGAGACCAAAAAAAAAAAAAAAAAAAAAGGCAAATACAGTATAGTGATGTGTTAAACATAATCCACTAAAAAAAAATAAGGGAAAGAAGTATTTAATTTCTGGATAGTAAAGTGTCAAAGCTGTATGAAGTCAATGTTCAGTTGTAAACTTTTGAAAAAACAACCATAATGTTTTGTTTAGCATTACAAACATTTCAGAGTTACAAACAATTAGTAACTCTGAGGTTCTACTGTATTAGTAAAATGATTTCTGGCTATATAGTATGAATAGCTATACAGTATGGAATCAAATGTTATTTCTACCTTCTTTTGTGCAACTTAAAAGGTTCTTTTACACCATGCTTTCTTATCACGAGCACTGTGCTGCATACCACAGGGTCTAATAAACAAAGTAATTAGCTTCGGAGCCACTGCTCGCTCCTTTCTCTATAGAGATTTTTATACTGTGAATGTCATTATTTTGTTATATGCAGTGTTGTAAATGTCTTGTTGTAACCATCTTGTCCCCAGGACTTGAAGAAGAGCTCTGTGTAAGCTAGAAAGCTTGTCTCACCAACAGAAATTGGTCTAATAGAAGACATTACCTCACCAATCTCGTCTCTCTATTATCTTGTTAATTATACAATATAAACACTAGGACTCGCAAAAGAGTGTTGTGATGAACATGACCACAAACTTCTGGTGTGTTTTACATAACACCATCTTGGAACTGGAGTTAAGGGATGTTAGAAATCACTATAGAATCTTCTTATAATCATCCAGACCACACCACACTATCTATTGTCTACAGTCAAGCTCTACGATACAACCGCATTTGCTCCAACCCCTCAGACAGAGACAAACACCTACAAGATCTCGATCAAACATTCTTACAACTACAATACCCACCTGCTGAAGTGAAGAAACAGATTGACAGAGCCAGAAGAGTACCCAGAAGTTACCTACTACAGGACAGGCCTAACAAAGAAAATAACAGAACACCACTAGCCATCACCTTCAGCCCCCAACTAAAACCTCTCCAGTGCATCATCAAGGATCTACAACCTATCCTGAAGGACAACCCATCACTCTCACAGATTTTGGGAGACAGGCCAGTCCTTGCTTACAGACAGCCCCCCAACCTGAAGCAAATACTCACCAGCAACCACACACCACACAAGAGAACCACTAACCCAGGAACCTATTCTTGCAACAAAGCCCGTTGCCAACTGTGCCCACATATCTATTCAGGGGACACCATCATAGGGCCTAATCACATCAGCCACACTATCGGAGGCTCATTCACCTGCACATCTACCAATGTAATATATGCCCCTCTGCCACGTACATTGGCCAAACCGGACAGTCTCTGCGTAAAAGAATAAATGGACACAAATCAGATGTCAAGAATTATAACATTCAAAAACCAGTTGGAGAACACTTCAATCTTTCTGGTCACTCGATTACAGACCTAAAAGTGGCAATTCTTCAACAAAAAAACTTCAAAAACAGACTCCAACGAGAGACTGCTGAATTGGAATTAATTTGCAAACTGGACACCATTACATTAGTCTTGAATAAAGACTGGGAGTGGATGTGTCATTACACAAAGTAAAACTATTCCCCCCACACACATACACACACTGTTCCTCAGACGTTCTTGTCAACTGCTGGAAATGGCCCACCTTGATTATCACTACAAAAGGTTTTTTGTTTCTCTCTCCTGCTGGTAATAGCTCCCCTTACCTGATCACTCTCCTTATAGTGTGTATGGTAACACCCATTGTTTCATGTTCTCTGTGTATATAAAATCTCCTCACTGTATTTTCCACTGCATGCATCCGAAGAAGTGGGCTGTAGCTCACGAAAGCTTATGCTCAAATAAATGTGTTAGTCTCTAAAGTGCCACAAGTCCTCCTTTTTTTTTTTTTACAAAAAAAGAGGACATTATCTGCCCTGAAGAACACCTTGTTTCTCATGGTTTCTTGCAGCAAGTAATTTCACAGAAAAACTGCTTTTCAATTGGTGTTTCAGCATATCAATTTAACAACTGTCCCACATTATCAATCAGAGAAAACTGATATAAACTGAATTGCTGTAACCCATAATCAAGTCCAAAACATAAAGACTGTGCTTCTTCTCATTATACTCGTGAACTTACAAATGCTTTACCTTTAAAAATTCATCAATAGCCATATAAAAAAATCAATAGTTATCTGACTGAATCTTGCTTCCAACAAAGTGTTTATCTCACTTTCATTTTCAAGTGAATCACTAAACAGTACTTTGAAATACTGTCACATAAAAAGGGATAATGTTTATCCTGCCTCTTATCATCAATATCATCATCCACAATTGCTACTGTATTCATATATTGTTTCCATTATGATCCTGATTTTGGAGAGGCTTAGCATTTCAATCATTTCAGCTTCTCGCTTATAAAAGCTGAATCTTGTGCACACATAAAATCATATTTAAAAATAAGTCATATGTCAGTCATAAGTCAGTTTGTAACCAAGGCTGGTGGAAGCCAGTGTGACTGGTGTGTTGATGACAAGCTGCTGGGGTCAGAGCTGCCAGATCAGGGTTTCAACTACACACAGACACTTAGCGTGACCTGCATGCTGCTAAACTGAGAGTGGCCCAACTGAGAGTGGGAGCTACAACAGCAAAGCATTGTAAGGCACCCTGGGTTAGAGTGGCAGGCAGTGACAACCTCTCATTGGTCTAGATTGCACCCCAGAATGTGAAAGATAGTAACTAATTAGTACAGGGGTGGGAAAACTACGGCCTGGGGGCCCCATCCAACCCTTCAGATGTTTTAATTTGGTGCTCGAGCTCCCGCTAGGGAGCAGGGTCCAGGGCTTGCCCCACTCTGGTGCTCCAACCGGGGAGTGGGATGGGGGCTCCCGGAAGCAGCAGCACATCCATCCTCTGGCTCCTACACGTAGGGGCAGCCAGGGGCTCCGCACACTGTCTGTGCCCCAAGCACAACTCCCATTGGCCAGGAACCTGCCCTAGCCCAGAGCCCCTTCCCATACCCTCAACTCCTCATTTCTGGGCTCACCCCAGAGCCCGCACTCCCAGCCAGAGCCCTCACCCCCTCCCGTACCTCAACCCCCAGTTTCATGAGCATTCATGGCCCGCCATACAATTTCCATACCCAGATGTGGCCCTCGGGCCAAAAGGTTTACCCACCACTGAGTTAGTATGTAATATTTGCTAGCTGACCTGTTCTCTAGTACACCACTACACTGATATAACGCTGTCCTCAGGAGCCAAAAAATCTTACCGCATTATAGGTGAAACCACATTCTATCGAATTTGCTTTGATCCACCAGAGCGCACAGCCCCGCCCCCCCCGGAGCACTGCTTTTCCACGTTATATCCGAATTTGTGTTATATTGGTTCACATTATATTGGGGTAGTGGTGTAGTTGGAAAGCTGAGGAACATAATTTTCTGAAATCCCTTGCTGCCACTGTTGGCAGAGGCTCTTCAAACATATTGCTGCTTGAGCTGTTATTGTATAATAAGCCAATTAAATGGAGCATTCACTCCCTCTTCTCATGGTTTCATATCCCAGATAAATATCTTTCATTCACTGTTTTGGGGGTCTGGGAAATGGATGAACTTGGTATAAATGAAAGCTAAGGAAGAGCTGCACTGGATTTTTAGAGGTCAGGAACAGTGTTTGACTGCATTACTCAATATTTCTCACAGACACTTTGTTCCTGAATATAAATCCTGATTTTTAACATTCCTATTCCAAGCACTGAGCCTCTCTAGAGCCATGGCTACTAACCGTGTTGCATTGGACATGGTTTTGTTATGTGGAAAATAAATGCTCTTTGGATATTACGGAAGATTACGAAATTCATTTTCAATTGTGAACTAAGCAGGATTTACAAACCTTAAGAGTCACATTGTCTCTGGCCCTTGCATAGATGTGCAGAGGGAAGACAAGCAGCTTTCAACTTCCAGATTCATCTGGTTAGCTAGCTACTGTAGTGTGGATATATTTTGTTGTTTTAGGCTCTGAGCACAACAGGGTAATGTTATTATATAGCTAATTACACTAAAGTTTATATTCTACTCAAATTCTGAAATGTAGATAGTTTATGGGACTAATTGGCTTTGTATCACACAGCAGTGTACATGTGAATGACACAGTCTGATCATTAAAAGATTATGTGATCATATTAATGCTTCTCAAAAAATAATAGCTCACAGGAACAGAAAACATTTACAAGAGCTCACTAGAAATTACACATTATCTTGTGGCTGATTACCCGACCTCAATTTTCCATGTTGCTCTTAATTACACTTTTAGCAAAATTTTGGACAGTCACAATGATACAAGTTAAATTCACCTAATGAAAAACAGCATGCTGTTTTAGTAAGAATACACCTTGTTCTCAGCTTCAAATTATAATACATTACCTGAAAGAGTGGCCACGTGAAATATTTATCAATATATGAATGTTTCAGTGGAACCCTGCAAACATACAATCACTGTTCATATTAGCAATAACAAAAAATCTAATAAAGAACGATTACTTACTTGATTAAGAATGTCTTGTTTCTGTAGTGCATGCAAAGAAAGAAAGAGAGAACACACATATTAATGCAGTATATATAGTAACACTCAGACTCTGTTTTTATAATAGGACTATTTTAGTTGAAAGTTTCGTTTTGTAGATAAACAGGTTTGAAAGAGAACAAACATTCTATTATTTTATGTTAGAATAGTTGTTAAAAATGGGTCTAGTCTTGATTAGTTAGACAGTGCAAGCATTTGGTTTTTAACCATGCAATGATAGATATCCAAGGAAAAATAACAATGAAAACAATGTCTTGCAACTTTCACCATCAGCCCAATGTAGTTTGTGTAAGTTATCTGTGGTCAACAATGGATGTCAGCAACAGGTGTTGCTGAACCAGTTCTGAGCAGTTTAACTACAAGCGCAGAGAAGGATAGTCTCTGGTCAGCACCATTTAAAAACCTGTGATGAAATGCTACGTTTCCTATCATTTGTACAATAAGTAAATCAAAGCAGTGCTTTGGATGAAGGGATTGTATTCACTTTTTCCATTTATCTACAAATGCTCAAAACTACTTCAGAGCAAAAATTACCACTCTAGATGTATCTCTAGAAGCTGTGTTCTGGGTATGAATTCTATCTCAGATCTCTCTGCCTGTTCGTACAGCCTGGTTCTCTCTTCTGTACTGTCCTCCCCAAGAAGAGGCAGGCATCAACATGAGACCCATAGGCTGAGCAGAGGATATGGGAACAAGTATGGAGTCAGTGGAGATATTTTTTGAAGGGGGAACGGACATTGTGGGTGATCTGAGAGGAAGGGTGGTCCAGGATAAGGGCATGGGACTTAAGAGACCCAGGTTTAATTCTTTGCTCTGCGACAGACTCCCTGTGTGACCTCAGTCGAGTCATTTGGACTCTCTGTATCTCAGTTTCCTATCTGTAAAAGTGGGGATGACAGCACCTCCCTACCTCATGTGGGTCTTGTGAGGGTAAATACATTAAAGATTGTGAGATGCTCAGATGCTATAGTGTTAGGGCCATATTAGTACCTATCATTGTTTGATTGATGGATGTGGGGGATGTTGGAGACAGAGCTGCAGACCCGACAACATCCTCCACTGCACCTCTCTGACCCCTTCTTTCCACCACACACTCTTCTGCACAGTTTTCACACCACCCCTCACTTGCTCTGACTCATATATTCCCCACTAACTGCCGAGATCACTACTTCGCTACGACTACCTCATTCCCTCCAACATGCTTGTTATTCCAAGCCACCTCCATGCACACCTACTACGCCAACACCCCCCCACACACACGCCAGCTGCTTTGAGTACACCCTACACACACACACGCTCTCACCAACTCCATCTTGCCACTTCATGCTACCAGGCCATACGGAGGTGGGAAAGTGGTGAGTCTGTGAGGTGTGCATGTACCAGAGGCAGGGGGCAGAAAGAGGCAGGAGAATGGAGTTGCAGAGTCACTACCCCAAAAATCTGGGACAAGCATATGCAGCATAGAAGGCTTACGGTGTGACTCAACTGACTCAGACTCGTGTGGCTATAACATTGCAGGGAAGACTTTCGGGCTTGAGCTGGAGCCTGGGCTCTAGGACCCTGAGAGGTGGGGAGGGTCACAGTACATTACAATTTTATATGCAGCCTGAGCTGAGTCAGCTGACCTGGGCGAGCCACCAGTCTTTTATTGCAGAGTAAACATAACCTCAGAGAGATGAAGTGGCCCATTTCATGTTAATGACATGTTCTCAGCTAAACGAGAACACCCCAGGGAGATCAATACAGCTTTAAACAATAGCTCTGAGACATGTGAACTGCTCTATTAATCTCAGTGGGTGTTCTTATTCCTCTCCCCAATGACTGCACTTGTGAGTCTGTGCTGTGCACCAAGCATGCCCATGCCCAAGACTCACCTTAGTCTTGGCACTAGGTGCAAGTTCCACACATGCTTATTCTCAGCTTCCCATACAGAGGGACTAGGCTCTTCCAGACCCCAACTCACATGGGGGGCATAGAGAGGGGCCTCCCAGGAAACAGATACCCTTGTAAAGTAGCTTTAATGAGGGCAAATGTCCCCAAAAGTATACGCAACACGGCTGTTACTCTGAAACCCAAAAGTATAAAATCCCCTTGACACAGGTGGATAGTAGCAATACACCCACCTAGTGCTCTCACGTTTCTGACAAAGACAGGATCTCAAACTCACAGTTCATAGGTGCAGCTTAGATCCAATGGCCACAGCATGTCCCCTTGAGCCACACAATTGCTGAAACAGCCTGCCTTGAAACAGTCTTGTTACAACAGAGCCCTGGTCTTGCTATACATAAACATTTCATTGTCTTTGGCTCCATCTACTTTCTTAACTTAACCTTGACTATTTCTTCAATATAGCTCTTCTAAAGGGCCAGTGGGTGCCATGCACTAGCTGAGATAAATCCTGAATAACGGAGATGAGTTTTAGGAGCTCATCCCCTAGCGAGTCTAAAAGGTTGCTCCAAACTATGCCAGCTGACAATGGCCACAGTGAGACTGAAATGATGTCTGGGAATCAATGGTCTTTACAGAAGCCTCAGTCACATTCCCTACACCAAAAGCAGGAAGAGGGAGTGGCATAGGAGCTGCTACAATCAGGTCCATGACACTGGAGGGTCCCCTCCTATGTTGGATAACCCTCTGAAGGCCAAGTTCATCATCTCCATTGCTGAACTAACCTCCCAATCTGACCGCTCTGCACAGCTTTATGTGACTCTACAAGGTGAAAGACAATGAAGAAACAAGACCCCATGATTTCAAAACTCAGTTTTGAATGCCAAAAAGGTAATAATTGTACTGGAGCAATCTGATTATTAAAGTGGCATATAATGAATTGCACTACAACAGCACTAGAGTGGAATACAGCGTTGAACCCACAGGGCAAGGAGAAATCTGGAACATGAGATTGTTTAGGCTCTTTTATCTCCATAAATATAGTACACTACAAAGTTTCATAACATAACTCCAGGCATAAAAATAATGCGGATTCAAGATGATCAGCCAAGGATAACTCATAGCTCTACGGCAGTGGTTCTCAACCCGCGGGCGCCCAATTACCACACAGCTGCAGCCCATGTGACATCCTCAGGGCCATATAGGTAGTATATATATTGTGTGCATGTGGCCCACAATGATAAATAGGTTGAGAACCACTGCTCTACAGATACATACAGATCCAGAGGTCAGATAAAATTACTTATTATTGCATTTTACCACCACAATTTAAAGTATCACAGAAGATCTCAAAGTTCAAGGGGCTTTAGTTGGTTTACTTGCCAATGTTTCTTGTCTTTAATATATACAATACAAAGTAATATATATGGGAACTGATTCACAACAAAGTTTACTTAGCACAAGTGCTCTCATATTAGGAATTCCATATAAGTCACAGAAAAATATGCCAAGAAGGAAGATACATATTGAGCTAATTAGCTGTTTTGATATACATTATATGGATGTGCTAAAGAGTAGTATGTGGCTTTATTCCATAGGTTTAAATAGAAAAATACTTTTAAAGATAAACGGAAATGCTTTTTCTTAAATATATATATATTTATTTTAAATACTGACTAAGATCCCATATCCATAGATAAGAACTCCCTACAAGAATTGAGGGCAATACCAAAAGCAGCATAAATTTTGCAGCTCCCTGTTCAGCTAAGGATTCCCTACATATTACTAAAGAAAGTTAATATTTAAAAAAAAGTTTATGAAAACCAGCCAAGGTCCCACTTCTGCATATATTTTAAGGCCTGAATGGACCAATGTGATCATCTAGTCCAATTTCATGCACAGCACAGCCCATAGAATTTCACCCAATAATTCCTGCATGAAGCCTAGTAACTTGTGGTTAAACTTGAGCTAACACAACCTTAATTATCCTACACTGATTGCAATAGGAACTGGTAACATCAGAGTGCGCCTACTCCTCCTAATAATAATGGGCATTATATCCGTGTCCGCCATAACTCCAAATCAGAATTCATATTCAAGGCCCTCTAGTAGCTTGTGTAGCCGCACTGATACAGGAATCACGCTGGACACACTGAGCCACCTCTCCTTATTGGTCTAACTGCACTACTGCAATTACAGAACCTAACAATACATTGTAGAATTTCCTAATATTACTCTCAGGCAATTTGCAATTCAAGCAAATATTCCTCACTCCCAAAATAATGATACAACAAGGTGTTTGCGTCCTTATGTGGCTAGGATTAAGGTTGCATGGGAAGCAGCACCACAAGTAAGCATTGCCTGAGTTTCCTAAGTTTGTTTTTTCTAACCTAAACACTCCTTCATGGATACGTGAGGAGATCTTACCTGAGCATTTCTAGGTTTTTTTAAATTTGAATTTGGTGTTATGAAGTCCCACATCCCAAAAGAATATATGGAGCAGAAGGCATTGTTCTGTGGCAACATCTTAACTTCACCACAAAGATTTTTGTAAGTGATTTTTTTTAAATAAAAGAGCAACTGTAACTTTGTTTACACAAATAAATTATTCATCAGAATAAACATGAGTGTTCTATGGCTTTTGAATGATGGACTAGATCACTTCTTGAGGTCCCTTCCAGCCCTACATTTCTAGGATTCTATGAAATGATCACATTAATAGATCCTTTTAGTTAAATACATCTTTTTTTTTCATTCTTCAGTATATGTTTTACTTTCAAAAGCACAAAGCATCACTCCAAACAGCAAATTTGTAAATAATTATCTATTTATAAATGCTTATTCTGCCACGTCATTTTTTAAAACATTTTTTACATTAATCACATTTTAAACCACTGAATAAAAAAGAAGAATTACCCCTTCAGGATTATATTTTGCTAGCACACCGTTACCATGGAATTCTTCCAGAACATCCTTAATCTTCTTGGTGGAGTCTAGAACAAAACAGAAAAAATAACAGTAAATTGATTTATACGGTATGAACTGTAGTCAAGAAAGGCATTATTTGTTTCAGACTGGGTTTGTGCTGTTGAGAATATAGTCTCTTTTCAAAGTGCATGCGTAATCTCCTCTAGGAGTATGGGAATTACGAGTGCAGTAAGAAGAGAACATATTGTACCCTCCAATTTAATAAAAACAAAGACAAAAAACATTTGAAAAATTGTACCTGACCTAATCTTTGACTGTGGTTGAATAACACATTTCAGAAAAGGTCGTTTGCATCAGCGACTTTAAGTCACTTTTGCACTCCCCTGATACTGTGCCAGCAGTGGATCAGGCTAGTCCTCCCCAGCGTTTGTAAACTAGATGTTTTCAGGCATAGGTCCCAATGGACACAAGAGTCATGAAAGCAGCCAGGACACACCAGAATGCAGGGAAGACCAGGGCAATGCCCCTTCTCCGCAACCATGCCCTCTACACCAGCCACAGGGAAGGGCATAGAAGCCATTGCACCAACTCTACACCACTCAAATATTCTCTTACCAGGGCCAGCTATGCAAGTGTTAAGAGTTATTTTACCCCAGCAGAATGGCGCAAAGCAACACTACCGCAGCAGCAGTATGGCTCTTTAACATTTGTATTTTCTTTTTCCCCACAGCTATAATTCTCAAACTGAAATTGAATGATTTTAAGCACTCCACATGCAGGAATGCTCTGCAGATATTGACTCACAACTGGTAAATAATTTTCAACTGACATTCTGATTGCTCACTATTAATACAAAAATTTCAATAACTATTCACTATACAAATCCCTGGACTCAGATTCTTTCAAAGCATGCCATTCACTTACACATGACCATCTCACGTTATTTCAACCAGCTAACAGAAACTAACAACTCAGTCATGTCTTAAAATAGCTTTCAGCAGGCACTTTAAGTTACAAATAGCAGGCCTAGCTCTGTGTTTTTTTAAGTTATATCAGCAAAATACAATACTGTGGTAGCTTTTTAGAGTTCACCATCTGCAAACTGATTTAAAAAAAGAAAGTGCATCTTTAAATCAATAAATAGACCTGAAAAGGGAAATATGACACCAAGGAGGAATGTATGTAATTAAAAAAAAAAGTCTTGGTTGTAACACATTACAAACTGAGGGGAAATAATTTCAGAGTAGTTCAAGCACTGTAAGAACTAATGCTTTCACAGTTATATAATAATGAAAGCTCTGGACAATATAGCTCTGAGGGTCTTTAGCCCAAGCAAATCTCTCCACCATGCCAATGTTGCAATCCATCAGAGAAGACTCCTCAGCCCCCTAAGAACCCACCAATGAACCCCCTTGGCAGACATAATCTTTGTATTGAGGGATAGTCGAATAAGACACTATGATGAGCAGAGTGATTTAAATCATGATTTAAATCACTAGTCAGGAAGACTTGATTTTGGTTTTCTACATAAAAGTTTTCTACATAAAAGTGCATTCTTATTGGTTGTTATAAGCTTAATACATATTCTTCACAACTCAGAGATAGATGTAGGTTTCATTTTTAGAAGGTACACACTACACATTTTTAAATAGGGATTTATGCTGAAAACTTTTCAGATTAGTTTTACAGCTGTATCAGAAAATGAATGATTGTTTGGTTATTTCATTTACCAAAGATAAATTGAAGCAGACATTTATGAAGTCATTGGGAGCTAAACTATCTCCAGTTCAACAGGTTAATCATTAATATTTGGAGGATTTTCTTGCCATGCTGTATTAGGAGGAGAACTTCACCAGACAGGCATTTAAATTGTTTTATTTAACTAAAACAACAACGTTAAGTATTCTGGATTTTTTTCTTCAACAGCAAACATATAATATTTTAACAAAACAAGCATATGTCCCTCACTTCTCACATTTTTCTCCAGACTTCTTTTCCTTGTCCAGATCTATTCCACCCCCAACAATCTTCTATTCATTGAACTTTTTGAAACTTTGCACTTTTAGAGAGAGGTAAGCGATTGATTGTGTACACAAATTTGCAGAGGGACAACAGAGTTGAGGTCTGTTATTTCTCACCTCTATATATTATTTATTTAAAAACATTTTTGCTGTTAACAAGCATGTTACCTCTGGAGACACAAATCCACAGTTTGAGAACTGCAAAACTAAGCATCTCTGATGGTATCTTCTAGACTGAGCGCTGAGTCCCATTGCGTACATAGAAAGATTAACCTAAATAATCTATACAGAAACCTGTGGAACCCCATAAAATTGGGTCCCTAATCCAGGAACTATTGGAACTCATTTACAAATCTTTTCATAAACATTACATGAATATATTGTCTCATAGTATAGAATTAGAATTTATAATCCCTATTCCATGATGAGATATCTTTGAGCTATAATCCTATCTTTAGATAGGTTTTTTCCCTCAAAAAGCATTTTATCAAAAAAATCCGATTTAAATAAAAAAAATCTGATTTAAATAATTTTTTTTTTATTTTTTAAAAAAAATCATTGATTTTTATCCACACTGATAATGAAAGACTGTTGCTAATTGCTGTCTTGTTCCATGATCTATGGTGTGTGAATGCCCCACAATCTGAAATGCACCAGACAAGTTCACTTCATTTACTAGACACACAAAAAAATCTTTGTAATAAGGAAAATAGTACCATATAATGTAACATATAATATGTTAAGAACACAGATACAGGGCAAAATTAGCCCTATTTGTATTATTAAACATTAATGTGATTGCAGTGCCCAAAGGAGGCCTGAATCAGTATTAGGGCCCCAATGTGCTAAGTGCTGTAAAACTCATATTCCATGCAGAGAAGCACTTCAGGCTCTAAGGCCCCGATCCTACAAACATTTAGTCATCTGAGGAATTTCACGGAGAAAGCACTCAGTTGGATGAGATCCTTCCTTTTGGGCCGCATTCAGAGCTTGCTGATGGACAACTTCTCCTCTTTCACGAGACCCCTCACAAGGATCTATTCTACTGACCATCCTGCTGAATAACCATATGAACACACCTGCACTATATCCTAATCACTTCCCTTGCTGATAGCAAAGTCATCCAACTATCTGAGAGCCTGACTGAGATCAGCAAGTGTATGAAAGGTGGACGGCTGAAACTAAATCCGAGGAACACAAAGCTGATGTTGGTGGGAAGACAGGTAGGTAGAATAGAGAAATATAAAAATTCCCCCTTTCTGGGCCAGAAGCTACCCCCAAATAAAAGCCTCCCCTCTCTGAAGTGCTATAAGATTGAGTCAAGGCTTTTTATTAGAAATGGCTATACCTCTTCCTTCTTTTGTTTTCCCAGCGGTATTTTATTAATCTTTAAACAAACATTATATACATATGTAACTGTAATTAATACAAACTCTATTACCAACAAGTTGGATATGTTTCTTATAACTTCTGAACATTTTTAATTCTGCTCCCAGCAGTGATGCTTTAAAAAAATCTCAAGTAGAACTAAGATGGAGAAAGTTTCAGCAATAGCATCTCTACCCCTTCCCTTTATGCATGCCAGCTGGACCCTGTGGTCTAACGACATACTTCTCCCATACTCTGCATACCTGTAATTGAAAAGGAGGGATGAGGGTCTAAGTTCTGCCTAGGTTGCCCCAGCTCCCCAGGAGTCTTTTAGACACAACACAATATACCTTCCAACAACTGAGGCACGGTCATTTATAATTTCCCCTTGTTTATAGTCTTTCAAGCAGTTTTCAATCCATAGGACAGTATTAATATCCATGCCAACTTGAATGAATTTTTAAAAATGTCATGAGACAATATATCATTTTTTTTTGTAATCCAAATATATTACATCGATTGCCTGCCCTTCATTCACTAGGTCTATCAGAAAAGAAATCAAGTTCTCCTTTCACAGTTTCGGTAACATAAACCAATACTGGGAGCATGTTCAGCCCAGCTCGCTTTAATAGGTTTCTGTAATAGGACTTGAATTGTAAGATCATTTCCAAACTTCGTTGCTACATGAAGGCCACATCAAATAAAATAAGAAATATTGGTTTGGAAAGTTATAAGCCAGTGAAAATGGGAAGATCCAACAAAACACCTTCTCAACCATACTGATAATTAAAACAACTAATGAGTAAATGCTTCCTGGGAAAACTAAACAAATTGCAAAGTATGATGTTGATCAGGCATAATACAAAAAGGAAACAAAGTGATTTATCATCCAATGACTAATTATTATCCTTCTTTGTGAGGAAACCATTGTAACAAGTAATTACCCTGGAAAGACTGTTTCTACAAGCAGGACTATGGATTGATCCAAAGTAGGCAATTTCAACTTGTGTCGGGTGTGTTTCTTTGGGGATAGGTAGGGTGACCATACATCCCACTTTGACCAGGACAGTCCCTTTCTTTAATCTCTGTACTGGCTTCTTTTTTTTTTTTTTTTGGCAAAAGTGATGATCAGGTGGCAAGAGCAAATGGGACAAATGCCCACTTTTGCCCCAAAACTGCGGCACGCACCCTTAGCAGGATGCAAAGGAATATGAAGGAGGGGCAAGTGGTGATGCCAGCTCTGCAGGGGGGTGAAGCGGAAATCAGGCCTCCAGCGAACAGCGACACCAGCTACACTGGGGGTGGGGAGGGAGAGGCAGGGTTCAAGTGAGCAGCAACAGCCATGCGGGGAGAGTGGTGGGAGGGAGGCAGGGCTCTGAGCAATTCCAGCCCCATGCAGGGGGCAATCTGGGCTCAGATGAGAGCCCTCTGTGGCAGGAGCGGGGGGCAGGACACAGGCCAGCCCATATGTTGGCGGGTGGTGAGGGGGACAGGGCATGGGTGAGCGGCTTGAGCCAGACCTACTCAGTGTCCCATTTTCCCTTTGGAAAATATGGTCACCCTAGGGATAGGTTATCAGGGGGTTGGATGGATTTAAGCAGGGCTCTGGGGGTTATCTGGGGGCTATGGGACAGAGAGGTTTGGGGGTCATGGCGAGGAGAATGGGGTGACTGTGG